ACAAGGTTCTGAAGACTAAAAGGAGCATGCTTATCAATGACCTGAACTGTAATTCCACACTGCATATTAACTCCTTGTGTAAAATATCTGTCCTTGGGAAAAAAAAAAAAAAACACTGTTAATTTGACTTACTATGCTAAAAACAGCATACTTGCCAAATGCCAGATATAAGATGGGCTACAACATACAGGTTTTCACTGCTCGCTGAATGTACAAAGGACAGAAGACTAAATTGCATCTGTCAGCGTAAAGCAGCAGTGGGCACCTAAGGAGGGAGCTGCCTCCGATCACTTTGTTCAGCCTGCTTAAAAGCTGGTAGCAGCTCCAGACTGTGCTCAAGGGAGCAGAAGGGGCTGCTTTGGAGATGCAAACTCTTGGGAGCAATTTGCTGAAAAGGGAAGCAAACAAGCCAAACCCTGCCTCACAAGCCATTACCATGTCAGCCAGAATTGCCGGCCAGCCAAGCAGAAGGGAAGGGAAATGACCCACTGCCTCTTGAAAAGCTGCTACAGGAGTTTGGTGGCCCAGTGCTCCTCCCCTTACTGGGAATACCACAGTTCTGATGGGAAGTCTGCCATAGGAGGGCTTGTTTTGCCCATCTGCCTACCATTATAGTGACAAGATCACTAACTTACCAAAGCACTGGAGCTTAACAGGGTCATAGTATGTGCCTTGTTTGCAGTAGCATTCGTAACCTGGTTGTGTATTCAAACAGAAGCCATTTTTACAGATTTCTTGTCCAAAGAGCTGGCATTCATCAGCATCTGAAGAGAAAACATTAAAGGCTGTGGTTACTGTAATTCTTACGACGACATGCAGGCAAACAAGATGGAATAAACCCTGCACGCTTCTCCATTCAGGCAAATGACATCTTAAACCGATGGCCCCAGGAGCACGGATACCCATAGAAAAGAAGCCCTTGTGCAGAAGGCGCCATGGTGCGCTCCCAGCCAAACTGGTGGACCATGACTTTCCCTGCCCCTGGTCAGAGTAACTCTTGTGACACTCGGGGTAAATAAACTGCCCCTCAGGACAGGGCAAAGCTTGTGCCACTGGAGGACTCTGCAGCTCTCCTGTCTTTCCTTTGATACCACACCGTTCTTAGCTCCAAGCAAAACAGACTAAGAGTATGGACTGTATTTTCCAATGTAATTTGATTTACGCAACGGACTCCCACCATGAGCTACCATCTAAGTACAAAACTAAGTTGTCAGGCTTATGGCTTTTATGACTGCTCTCTTCTCTCCATGCACTGCTGACTCTGCTGTGCGTGGTGGAGAATCCTCCTATCCTCCATGCAGGAATCTTCCTGCATGGAAAACTTCACAATGGAGACTTCCCACTATGAAGGAATAATTGTTGCTAAGTATAAGGCAAGAACCACTACAGCAGGTGCTGTAGTGACAGCTGACAGAACCTTTTCATTTTCAAATGGAAGTGGAGGTTTCAGAAAAAATACCTGCTAGCTTATACATGCCTTTTCACAGCTGTACACATTTTTTTCCAGCCTTGTATTTATGTATTTGTTACCGTTGGAATTCCCCTCACTTCCTTTTTTCTACCCATTTTCTGTTTTCTAGACATACCTATAAGAGCCAGTTAAAGCTAGGCTGATATTAAAAATGGGAATACAAACGTGGCAATGTAAAGTAGGTAATTCTACTTTCAATAACAGTTGTCTTAATCCACTGTCTTTTATAGATTTACTCCCCGTGTACAATCGGGTAGCGCACTTTTTAGCCCCAAAATGTCACTTCTATCTGTCCAGCAGTTTTAAAGGTGAATTATTCAAATGCTCACTGTTCCAGAAGAGCTGAAAAAGCTATAAAGCTGTTTATTTTTACAGGCATTCTTCCAGCCACTGAGTGGCTTTAAATATTAAATATTTTAAGTTTGATTGTTTAGCAGCAAGAGGACTGCAAACCTTAATGAGAAATATCATGTAGGCTCCATGTCTGTACATCTTTTTCCTATGGAACAATGATACATGTCCTGAGGAAAAGTAGGAAAGCTTGAGACTAGTGGAGTCAAGGAAGGCTAGCTGAGTGCATTCACTTCCTGCAAGCAGAAGCTTGTGGACAAAAACAACAGAAATTGTAATGAGTTAATGTAACAAAGAAAGATCATGTTACTAAAAGTATTTGCCCAGTTTTGTGTCTGTCTTTTGTCTTGTCCATTTCTACGGATATTACAGAATAAACTTATTCAAAACAAAAAAGTCTTACTATAGGAAAGATTTGTGGAAGACACTTCCAGATCTGAACTATTTCCACACTTCACTATTTATAGCAAGTAGAAACGTTGCCAACTCAGGTAGCACAACAGAAACAAAGAAGATACTGTGTGAGCTACATTTGGACGTACTCTACGCACAGTATACCCCAAGGCTCCACCAAAAAGAATCTGCAAGTCTTAGATGTGCAAAGATAAATAACACACTTACTTAAACAATCCCTAAATAAAAAATACTGTCTACTGCATAGAATTCGCAATTCTATACAATCTACACAGAGAGATTAGGTCCTGGAAGAACAGCTCCGTGACATTGTTCTGACTTGTCCAGAGGTAAATTGTCAGTCTGACCAACACTGAGATGGTCCCTGGTGCCATCATTCTCAGGTCTGGAGTCACCCCACGACACTTCATTCTTGATTCTCTCTACAGTTGTTGGGCAGAGACACACCTCCGGAGGGTTCAGGTAACCCATTTAAGTGCCTAAACTAGTTCGAATAAATCCGGATATGAACGCCTTATACTTTTCTGTACCTTTTCTATGAGGTAAGGAGGCAGTATTATCCTCATTTTATGAAAAGCAAGGCAAGGTACAGAGAAAGACTTGCTGAGGCTAACACAAAAAGATGAGAACTGAACTTGACCATGGTCTACGCACTTACTGGTTAGCAAAACTGATCTAGCAGTGTCGTAGCTAATGAGGAAGGATACTCCAAGAAAGTACGTGTAATAATCATTACAAAAAAACTCAAGAATCTGTGAATCCCACCAATTTTCTCGCCTCTCAGAATCAGGTCTGACAGGTTAATGACTTAGCTAGAAGCGACTTTGAGAAATCCTTATCTGTCAACCATGTGAAACTATGGCTCCATTAAACTATTTTAAAAATAGTAATTTTATGGGATATGAACATGCAGTAATTTCTACATTATTAAATACTTGATTTGTAAAACAGCAGGTCCAATATGAACAAATATAGAAGATTTGTATATTTTAAAATACTGGAGCTACTATGTGAACCAAAGATAATGCATCGACTTCGTTGTAGCTAATACAAATACAAGGTATTTATGCCATATGCTGCAGAAATGAATTTAATTCCTTGAAAAGAAATTTCACTCATCTCACGCTTCCTTCTTAGTGATGCCAACTCCCTCCCTCCCACCCCCACAAACTCTGTTGTTCACTTACCTTCCTCTACAGTCTTTGTTCAGCAATTATTTCATGAAGTTTTATAATGAAAATGTCATTGCTGAACTCCTCTTCAGTTTTTATTTTCCTTCTCACTTGTAGGTCTAATGCTTAACAGAACATTTTCTCTCTGTCCAACTCCCAAAACAAATCTACAAATTTAAGATGGCTTTGTATTTCATATGTAGACGTATATCAGAGGTTTGTGGTTTCAACGCTATTCTTACAGTATATAGCACTTGATCCAAACTAAAACAGAGTATTATAGGTACGGTATAATTGACATTCTAGGAATCAAACGTGATGATTTTCAGTGAAGTTTCATGTCACAATGCTACTTTGTCACCTAGTGAAATTTGAATTATTATGTTTACATTGCTAGCTCACATTTCTAGCCAATCATCCACTAGAACTTCTGAAATAATTAAACTTAATACAAGTCCGCGCTGACCTTTGTAATTCTGAGTGAGAAGTCCGTAAGATGATTCTCCAGAGGGGATGAAACCTTTCCCTTCAGGACACAAATCGGTAAATTCAGCTAGGAGTGAGAGAGAAAACAAAAGTTAGGTTGCTAAGAAAAAGTTATTCATGTCATATGTGTTTCAGTGTACTTTGAAAAACCTGAGGCAACCTTTTGCCCCATTTACATCTGTCAAGCAACCACGCACACCTTTAGCTAAAGCTACATACTGCCGTACTTTTCCCTGCCCCCAGGCTGCAGAGCTAGCTTTGGAAAACCCACAACATCCCAGAGCTCCAGGCAAACTAATTTCTCTTGCTTCTTGGCAGGACAGTCAAGTCCTTACCAAGTTTCATGGTGCACTGCAGTTATAACAATACCAGTAGCCAAATTATCTTAATTAAAGCTATCTTGGGCCTCTCTGAGCTATGCTGCAAGCTGCAATCTAGACATACCCAACTGAGGTACAAAATCCTGTACACATTCTTCAGTCTTTATACAGGAAAACACTACTTGACTGCAACAGGAGAAAATGGTGTGCATTAGAGAGAAATTTTGTGAAGTGTCTTGGAGACTACACAGAATCAAAGAAAACTATCCAAGCAGCAAGACTCTTTTCCTAAAGCATTTCATTATGGTTTTACTGATTCTAAAGTGTAGTTCAAACAGGAACTAAACAAGATGATACATTTGTGTGGAAGGTAATCTTTAGCATTTAATCTCAAGAAGTTCACACATGTTCTCTCTTATGTGATTTTTTCCAGCTGGATTCTGAATTTTAGCCATTGCTGTTTATGCTTCAAGGACTGTTTTCAGTATTTGTGACAAATATCATATGGTTATGTTTTTCTAATTTAATATTCAGAGGTTAAACAATGGTTTGCAGACAACATGATTAACTGTATTGTCCAGTAAGTAGCAAAACGTAAAACTGATGTCATATATAAGTAATTCATAGTGCTGTAGAAACAACATTACAAAGGATAGCTGCAGCCTCAAAAATACTGTAATGCTTTGTTTTCCAGCTTGTGGGAAAAATCTAAAATGTTACCATAGCACTTAGAAGAAGCTTCTGTAAGAAATCATCTTTTTTTTTTTTTTTTTTTTTTTAAATCAGTTGGTGATAATACTCTCCAATAAGTGGCCATTTTCATCCCTGGTGCAACCGCAGTGAAGGCAATGGATTTACCCCAGGAATGAGTTATTCCTATTGACTTTTCCTCTGTGGAAGTTTCACATGGGTAAGTTCTGACTAAACATCACAGAATATGGCCTTTAATGAATACGCCTTCTCTGAAGGCAAAGCACACTAATGTTAACATAAACACAATGCTTCAAAAATTCACAAATGGCCAGAAGGACTCCTCTTACCAGTTCCAAAGACAGGGCATGGGAAGATTTCACAGTTATCACCCCAGCCAGCACCCAAAGTACAGCAGCATTCTTGTTTGGTTACATTGGACGTAAGCACGTTGTCACAAAAATTAGCATCATTCAGATTGTAGTAGCACTCCTTCTTTCCGTCTTCATGCTGATCAGCATCTATTGGTAAGTCTAAAGGTGAAAAGAAAACAACTAAATAAGACGACGTGTGAAATGAATCAGTTTTATTTATAAGAGAACCAGGAGAGCCACAGTACTCCTGCATTTCACCACAGGGAAGAGCAATTAGAAGAGAAGAAAATGGTTAAGTACAAATTTATGTATTTATTTTTTTTCTCTTAGGGAGAGCGAGGGAAGTTCATAACCTTCTTTTCACTTCTTCAAACCTCTTCTCCTCTCTTGGGTGCCCCGGAATTGTTTACAGTTGTGCTTTTTCCATTTTTAAGCAAGGCACAAACTATCTTGACCGTGCTCAACTACTGACACAGTGCTTTTCATGTATGAATCTTGAAGCCCTTCACAGAGGTGAATAAACATTACAACCTTGTCTTATGGATGCAGAAACTAAGGCACAGACCGAAAAGGCCTGATTGTCACAAGACTGAACATTTTCGGCCCCTCTTAAGTGCCCTGGAAAAGAAGAATGTTCCACAGTGTTGAAAACAAGGTCCTTTATGATTTTTGCAAAAGAACTCAGTGACTCCACGATAAGGAGAGGAATATAATGCAGATGTTGAGTTTACCGACTCTGCACCTTACTTTAAAATAGGCTTTAGAGGCATCCAGCCATTTTCTGCCTTTTGCAGTTGAGTGGGTCCTCTCTCGATAAATGTGAGGACAGGATGTTAAAAGATGTCCCTCTCCCTAGATCTACTAAAAACCTATTAAGCAATAGTCAAAGACTATTTTAAAGCAAGCCACTCCTAAAGTACACCAAGGAGTGAGTTTGAAAAGAAATACGTTCTAGCTTTCATAAAAACTTCTGTATCGGCAGAACTGTCCGTCTAACTTTGCACTTCCAGAGAAACTCCTCAAGAGCTCAGAAGTCAGAAATACCACACAGAGTTGTTACTCGCACATGATCAATATGAAGAGCTTTTCTTAGGCCCTCCATAAGGTGACAGAGTTCTAAAATTATAGATGCTCATGTTTCTTGATCAAAAGCAAAGCTTTATTCAGGAACTTAAGATAGGTTAGCCCTTGAGGTGACCATTTTCCTTTTCTTCTTGGGAAATTGTTTATGCTTAGCACTTAACAAATGATTAGAAATAAATAAATCCATAAAAACCTACTGAAATTTGTTCCATGTTGGCTGATTTTCCATTATTTGACATTTCATTCATTTATACTCGGGCTGTTGTGCAATGCTTCAGGCATGAGACATTTCTAAAAGTAACACAGGTCTCTCAGTGGAAACTGAAAACTTATTTTAGGCTTGATGATAGTACATTTCAAAATACTAGAAGATGAGTAAGACCCAAAGAGTTGTGGTATTTAAGCTATGTTTGTTTGCCTTGCAGCTCTTCTCATTCATTCATATTTTGTTCAAAAGAAAATGCTTAAGGCTGTCCTGCTTACAGGTATTTCTGCACCCGGGAGATCAAGTTCACGTGACTACCTCATCTGTCCTGCCTTCTGGTCATCTCTCTGAAGTCAAGCTCAGTCTCGTTATGCTGGCTATAGGTTGGAGTTTTATAGACCCATCCACCTTGGTCTATAAAAATAATGGCTCTCAGGAGGGACCTCAAAGATGGCGACTGTCCAACAGATGCTGGAGGAATAAAATGAACCCCAGCCCTTGTCACCTCATCCCTGTTGTCCCCAGCTGCCCACCCACACCCCCCCCAAGCAGGTGGAGTGTGGCAACCTTACTGTGCATGTAAACACTAGAGCTATTTTGAGAAAACCGGGTTTAAATGCCAGTATGTGTTGCCTGTTATTGCACTTTAATAGTATGGACGTGTCTAATAGTTCTTTTGGCTTTGATTCCAAAGAGACAATTGGATTTATTTCTGTTTTCCTCAGAAAAGGGACTGTTTCGGTTTTTGGAGTTTGAGGGGCTGGCAGACACCTCTATTCAAATTTAGTACAATGTTGCCACCTACAAGGCAAACTTTCCTTTGCTGTTTTGCCAATATAACTAAGTTGTACATTAAGGGAAACACCCAGCTGAGTGCTATTTCATCTTTTGTTAGTTTAGTCTGTGGTCTCCCCTCATCAGATAATTACTGTTTTCCATAATGTGCTGAATTTCATAAAGTATGGTGGTTTTGTGGTATCAGCTGCTATCCAATAGGAACAAAGTTAAGACTATCATGTGTCACAAAAAACTCAACTGAACTAAATCTGTTATTCCAAGGTGTGAGAGCAGTACTTTGGCCACCAAATTATACATTTTCCTTGGCCATCTGCCATCTGTCCAAGTGAATCAAAGCCCAAAGCATAACTAGGAGAAGAAGCATGACAGTTTTCACACTGTTTACCAAGGAAAGAGCTCCAGAAGCTGCCCCAGGAGGAAGGAGAGACAATCTCCTCGTGTGATTGTTTATTCCCATTTTACATTTGATGTGTTGGTTTCTCCTCCCATTATCTGTTTAGCAGCTTAAAAGCCGGTTGTTTACACAGCTGTGACTGAGGGTTAGTCAGGCGGGCGTCATGAATGTTTGGAAAGCAAATGAGACACAAATCTTTAATTTCTTTTTTTTAACCAAGGCCAGTCTGTGTCTACAAGCTTATAATTTCTCTCTCATATATTATTAACCATTTAGTGAATGGGTTGTTTTTGAGAGTGGCTTCACTAAGTATTTTGACAAAACGTGGTAGGAAATAGGTACTTTTTTTGGGGTATCTTTGTCTTTTAAGGTTTTGATGATGTTGTTAGAAAATGTAAAACATCTCTCTACCTAAGGCACCTTTAGCAACATATTTTTATCAGGTTGTTGTTATGACTGTTAAGTATTAACAGCCTAGCTAAGAGATGCTATATACTTGCTGCTAATTAAACCATGAGGGTATATATTAAAATTAGATTTATATACATTCATGTAATTGATCCAGCAAGATACTTCAGCATGTGCTTGACCACAAACACCTGCATTAGTACTACAGGATTCGGTGGGTAATGAAGATATATGCTTAGAATTAAGCACAAATGTAAATATTTGGCTAAATAGTGGCCTGTTACAACTGTGCTCTGTAAAACCCCAAACGTGTAGAGCTGGTGGAACAATAAATGCTGCGACCCTGCACCGCTGCTCCTTGCCCTCAGCTGGAGCCAGCAGGGTGGCTGCTGTGAAGGGGAAACCCTCACTGCAAGCTCAGGACTTCTCAAACCTCCGAGACGCTGGCGACAGACAGCGTACCTGAGCAAAATGCATGAGTAACATGCACTTTCAGGGTCTGACTTTCAACAAGACAGTAAAAATACATCGGTGCGTGCCTATAGTCAAGGGTTACCTGTGTTAATTTCTCAGCTGGCTCCACGTGTGACAAATTACAACACCCGTCTTGTGGGGCGGGTGTCGGAGGGTGTATTTATGTGTACAGATACAATTCAAGAATTAGTGCACGTGATGCCCATTTAAAACTGACGTGCATGAGCATGTTCAGAGATGACTGAAGTTCAGATCATCAATTAGCTTAGAAAAACACCCACATATTGTCCTAAAAATTTAATACAAATTCAAAGGATTTCCCTTAAAGCCTTAACATTTAGGAAAGCCTTGAGGTTAGGAAACAGAGAATTTGTACTCAAGCACTAAACTTCTAGCCTTGAAGAGGCTTTTGGACCAGATATATCAGCTATTCTTCGGTAGCATCATTTTTTTTTTTTTTTGGTGGTAGTGCTAGGGGATGGTTAGTTTTTTTGTTTGTTTATTTGTTTTTCCTAAGAAAAATTAGTCTAGCAGGATTCATACTATGTTTGAACAACAAAACTGTGATTTTTCTTTATAAATCCTGGGAAATACTGATAATCATCTTGCCATAAGTAACTCATCACATTGTATGTGGCCAGGAGAAAGCAACAAAATTACAGTCTAAAGTGGGCCCTGGTACCCTAGCGGAGGTCTCACCCTGGAAATCTTTTTATTGTCCAAGTTGTAACCCAAACGTCTGATGTTAGTGACCTTTGTATATGTAAGCCAGATTCCTGCTAATATGCGGATGCTGGTACATACCCTTTTCGCTTCTAGTTCTCATTTTAAATCTTACCTATTATAATTCTCAAATACATACTATCCTTTTTAGCGTCTGGATTCAATATATATGATCATATGCATTAGTAAATTTAGCTGCGTATGAGACCATACATTTTTTCTTAGGCGTATTAATAATCAAAAAACATGTTAATAAAGATGAATTATTCAAACTGCATTGAGCTCAGTACTTCCTATAAATTCATAAAAATGGCTTAATGTATCTTGTTAAAAGCACAAATCAGAAGAATTAGTAAAACAAAACTGGCTTTTTTTTTCTCTCCATGATAAAGAGGTCTTAACAGTCCAGCAGTTTCATCTGAGGCAAAAGAAAGCTCTTTCCTCCTTTATCTTTCCTGCCTTCTGAACTGTAATGGCAAGGTAGGGAGGAAGAGAGTAAGGCACTCAAACGCTGCATGTTTACTTTCTTTGTTACAGAAATGTGACAATGCGGGCTAGAACTGCTGATACATACATTGAGAGGATCGTTCAGGACGCAGCTAGTAACAGATGAATTTCCATCAAGTGAAATCTAACCAGAAGGAAGTCTCTACATCCCCGGTAAGTAAAGCGAAGTGTGAACACAGATCATTCCACAGAGGTAACAGCCTTCAACCAGGGGTAAAAAAGTTCCCAAATTAAAGTTACGTTTGAGCAGTCTTCACCTATTTTTTTAGAAATAGTATCCTATTTCCAACTTGGCAGGTGTGAGTTGGACCGACATTTCTTTATGTACAAACAGCACAAAAACACAAAACAAGAAATAAGCAAAGGTCAGCTGAACCACACTGAACTACTGATATCTGCAACAAGAAAACACAGGTTAGATTTTTTTCTCTCTCAGAACTGGCATCATGCAAGCTAATGCTGACAGATGATGTCCGCATGCACTGCAGGAGCTCTCAAAATACCACGCCTGACTTGAGTACGTGGCCTGTCAAAGCCAGAGGATGCGTGGTAATCCCATCACCATTTACAAGGAGATAGCGTGATGCTCCTATCTTATCATGCTGCAGCTGGTGGAGGGTTGAAGTATTAATCACAGGGCAAACCAGTGTAGCTGTTATCACTTCTCCTGCCGTGACCACGTGGGGCTTGTGCCCAGTTACAACCAGAGAGGAAAACACTGCTGTATGCTCCCTTTCAAACAGGAGTGGAGGCAGTACCAATGGGCAATGCTCTTCTGCCTCAGTCATCGTACTTTTTCAAAATTTTCATTCCTTCATCCACAAGATAAGCTCCCCTAAGCCTGAATCTTTTTCATGACATTTTGCAAAAGTTTCAGTTTCTCAATCAGCTGTTAAAGATATTTCCCAGGCAACGTCTTGAGTGCTGCTAAGTACTGTTGTATCCAATGATCTAAATACTTGTTGCACTTGGGTCACAGCGATTTCAGCCTTGTTTACACGTCTGTGAGAGATGAGTGATAGGAGAAAATAGCCATAGCTTCCTAAGCTATAGAGCCTGCATGCTGGCTAGATCTGCCTATGGTGTAAGACCAAAATAGGAAACAGACCAAGATCTGCGTTCTGGAGGGGAAAAAATATCATGCTCGTCAATCTTGTGCTCCGTTGCTCCTTCCTTTGGGGTTTTGTTCCTTTCTCCAAATTGGACCAATGTAGAACATTTGGAGGCAACTTTAAGTAAAAGAGTTCTGAACTAATTTTCAATGAGGATATTTCCAGTAGTATTTTCAACAACCAAAGCACTTAATAACAAAAACTCATAAATCCAGTAAGATGGACTATTAGGAAAAACAGGACAACAAAATGGAGTAAAACAAGCAAGGGGAGCGCTCGGAGAGACGCACAACAATTCAGTGTTTTGTTTTTTGTTTCTCTCAACTGCTTTTTCGGGGAACTTACATTAGTACTAGATAATGCTCTGTGCAGACCACTCTATAAAAATTTTGTTTTTAATTATATACTTCTTTGAGCATTGTCCGAACACACTGGTAGACTTCTGTAAGAATTTGAATAACAAAAAAAGAATCACTCATGCCATGGATTTGATTCCACGCCACCTTTCATTGTTACAGTACAGCAAACAGAAAGTATTAAATCTTAACTGCTGTTCATCATGACTGTCAAGGCTGCCGAGGTATAAAACTTAGAAGGTATTTATTTCTGCTGTATTTTCAATGCTAATGATTCACTGATAACGTATTCAATTCTAGAAACTCTTCTTCCCACACAAACTTTCAATAAGACAAAGTTTTTTAAATTTTCTGTGGTAGTTAAACCACCACGAACATTTAAACCAACTTTACCTTTGCACTGGTTACACATTAAGCGGAAATAACCCCAACATTGCAAAAAATCCCCAGGCGTTTTATTTACCTGGTGAGGTACGGAAGCGACATTGTCCAGTCATTGGATCATACTCCTGGTTTTCGTCAGAACACAGGCACAGGAAAGAACCATCGACGTTTTCACAGAGGGCTTCGCCACATACTCCACTCAGCATTTCACATTCATTTACATCGGGGGGGGGGGAGAAAAAAAAAAGACATAAATCAATTCAGAACCATTACCGACGGCTTGTTCTTTTATCTGCTGTATCTGTGTCAATATTGTCTGCTAGGATACAGATGTGATCTCCAGGGAAGGACTAAAACCTCACTAATACCTCAGTGGATTCATAAACAAGTAGTCAATCCCTTTGAAATAAAGGCCCCTAAAAGCCACAGTAGTTTATAAAATATTGGTGGTGATTAGGCGCTGCTTGTAGACCAGAACACCAACTTGCAGTTTTTCTTTTTTTTTTTTTCTTTTGGTTTTCCTGTTTTGTTTTTAAAACCTTGCTTTTCCTTAACCCCTTTTCTTGGGATTTAAGATGCAGACTCATTTCATTTGTTTTCTTAAACAGCTATTGTAAATCAACATGTTCTCCTTATTATCCAATGCTCATTGAAATCAAGGAGTGACATGGGTAGTTTTCAGTGGAATTCAGCCTGGACTATGAAAAGAGAATTCCTTTTTTCCCCTCAAAATCCCATTTTTTCTCATAAACATTCTCTGAATTATCCAGGCTCAGTTCTACTGTGTGCCTCTCACAGGCAAGGCCTCACAGGTTGCTCTGCAGCCCACAAAAGTTATTCCCAGATCACCCAGCAAAGCCCCTGCAGAACGGTACAAGTTTCCTCTCGCATTCAGATGCTCCTCACAGCTGCGACTGGCCAAGTACCAAAAAGAATTCCACTTGTTCTGAACTTCGCTTTTATACGCCTCCTGACTAGTCTACCCTGAAATGCTTTTGACTGGAGACTTGTCTGTTGCTTAAGCAAGGTTTATTAAATATTCTCAGGATTGACTTGGTTCCCTCTTCAGTTGCTAAAGTTTACCTTTGACTATCTGCTTAGTCTGCCTACTAACTACAGAATCTGAAATTTCTACTTTGTAAATTACAATTCAGAAATGTATACAACTGCCTGTAGTCTAAAGTGTAATTTGTGAGGAAATGTTTTACCCTTTTTCCCTCTTCTCCACCAAGAAAATAATCTAGTCATATGACCAAATGATGACTTACATAAACTTAATAAAAATATGCATTTTAATTTATTACTTTGCTCAGCACTTTTAACATGTATTTAGGTCATTTTAATCTTTTTAATGAATTCATATCGAGAAGGATGAATTCTTCTTTGGGGAATACTGCTTAACTGTAAAGATTTATCTTTTTTCTTAAAATGTTTTGGTAAATGACAGGCATCATAATTTGTAAGAGTGCTTTAGAATTTGTCCGTCATGTTCTCAAGATCATTATTTTATGATGCAAAATCACTTCACTAGCGACTCAAAATTAAAATCAGCTTCCACCGATTTTTACTTTCCTTTTTTTCTTTCTTTGCTTAATTTGTTTTCACCTGTGAGAAGTTACTATAAGCAAAAATATACATCGGTATGTTGCAAACTAAGTCCCAAATGGCCTAAAGAATTTTGTAATGAAACTATTTAATATATGAGAAAACACACACGCACACACTCTTCTGTATGACTTCTAACTCCTTCACTGTGCTCTGTATTCCATTTAGCTCTGTGTTGCTGGTAAATGTGTTTCATCCTGACTTTAGCTTGAATAAATTGCTTAATGAATACCTTTCCTTGATCTGGTATTAATTTTATATTAGAAACTTGTGCTGCCTCAGATGGTTCTCAGGTCCAACCATCACTATTAACAGCAGACCTGGAAACCTATTACTCACAAGAGAAATGTGCAGTATTTACACACGTACAAAAACCTGACATCTTTTCATGGTGATAGGTGTCTTTCGTGGAGATTGAAGCCAATGTTAAAAATCTGTTCAAATACAATGTGCCCAGGGAGGTGTGCTGTCTAATTCGGACTGGCTGTACCACATGCCAGACTTTATTTCCTGTAGGAGGTAGTACAGAGTTCTGGTTATTCCGCTAAGAGACTAAACAGATGTTGCATTTAAATAGGCTGAAGTATTAAATTCAATCCACTATGGTTTATATTTGTGAATGGTCCTGACCTGTGCAGAAATAGTGGGTTTTCTTGTTTTTTTTAGAGAGAGAAAACAAGTGGCTGAGCTTATTTGCTGTTGGTTTCCATTCAGTCCTAATAACAGGTTCTCATTAAGCGGCTACGTAGTAAGTTTCCACCTGGCATAAAGTTCAGTGAGTAAAGCATAGCTCAGCCTTATTCTACTAGTAAGCGGTACAACTTTAACAAAAAATGATGGAAAGCAAAGGTGTTCTTGTGAAGAAATGCGCTGTGTGCATAAGCTGTTTTTTCCTCACTAGAATCCTGCAGTAGTGACTACAAACATCTAGAAACTCACCCGTGCACCCGTGCCCATCCTGGGGGTCCTGATAGCCCTGGTAACAGAGGCAGCGGTAGGAGCCATCCATGTTTTCACAGAAGCCATGGCTGCCACACAGTGTGCCGTTCGCGCATTCATCAACATCTGCAAAGAAGTATTTTAACATCGCACAGGCAATGTGACAAAGGCGGACACTAATGAAGAGTGAAGGAGAACAACAGAGAGATGTGCCAGTTTCACAAACAGATGCAGTGATGTGTGTCTGTAGATGGGAAGGAACACGCAAAGGACAAGGCGGAACAATTTAAAGGAAGTGCACGTACAATAAGGGAAAATCGTTTCAGTGTTAGCTTCACAGGAAATACGTCAGACAATCACTTTGGTCAAATCCTACCCATCTATTTCACCAAACTGCCCAGTCATGACATGATGCTACGTACCATAGAATGAGACATAATTTAAATGCGACTCTCTCTCAGACTTTCCTACAGATTCTGCCAATGTAGCACTATATAGTCAACAACATGGGTCAAACTAACCGGCCCAGGCCCACAAGAAAATCTGAAGCGTATGCTGACGCCCCTCGTGCAGAAGTGCTGAACGTGGGCCAGAGATTTTATGTGAGACAGAAGTGCTGCTTGGATCTCATTCTGGCTCTCGACACAAGAGAATTTCACAGTGCATGTGTAAGTGGTAAATATCTGCAGATTGAGCCCGGTGGCCTTAATCCTGTCATTTACACAAATGAATACCCTTACATAGGTAGGCAAAGTAATCGCAATGCCTACATGCTTTCTGTACTGGCCCTTTCATTTGTAGTTTTCATTTGTGGTTTGCTGGCCTTAAAAGTGAGAGTCACTGTGTGAGTAGGTCTGTTCTTTGACTCAGCTGCCCATCAGCCTATGATGAAGCTGAGCTGCTTGTGGCAGAATGTGGTTTATTTTTGTAAGTGTATTACAAGTGCTGCGTATATATTTATCTTCAGTTGAAATAAGACCTATAACCAAGGCCCTGACCGTCTGTGGTCGTTAAAGATGTCACGTTGTGTTTTTCAGGGGTAAGAACATTAACCCAAACTGGGATCTAGCCAAGATACTAGGATTAGTACCTTCTGCCTTCTAAACGCCTCTGCAGTTTGAAGCGGAGCTGTTATTTCTACACTTCTTTCCTAGAAACCACTGTGACTGCTAAGCAGAGCTGCTGTCCTCTCTGAATTACCTTCTGTGCTGTGCCTTAGGGGTAACTGCATTTTACACGCTTCCAAATGCAAACAGTTAGAAGGGCATAAATTCTCTTGCATGACCACCTTCATGTGGCTGGAGTCTGCCATCATTCTGCCTCCAGTGAAGGCCTTACGCACTCACTGCACTGAAGGGCTGGTGGGGCTGAGTCCTGCCTTGCCCCAGAGAGAGGAATTCTTTGCATAGGTGAGCAGCACTGCTCTTCAGTGCCTTTTTGAAAGGAAAGAGCAGGCCTCAAACGCAGTCCCATCTACTCCTCCAGCTGATCACAACCAAGTCAAACAAAGGCCTAGAAAAGTCAGCAAAGACCCAGCTCATTCCTCTCCTGACAGAGATTACTGAGTAAGGCCATTTTTACTTTTAGACCATGTCTTAAGCTCAACCGAAAGGGAATTCTGGGTCTTTGAACCACATGGTCACAGCTCCCCAACCTACCTGAACTATATAGCAGCATGCTATTACCATCCACAGATTCTCCAGCAGGTTACCCGTTGTGCTGTCCTCTTGCTCCCAAGTACCCACCTCCACCCACACCACACTGCCATCTGCCTCAGGCCTGCCAAGCACAGAGGCTTGAAAGGGGTCCTCGAAACCAGCCTTTACTATTTGCTGGGGTTGAGGTTGGAGCAGGTTTTAAGACTCCATATAAGTTTTTTGAGGCCAGAAGAGACTACATCCACATAATGTACCCCACCTCTTGCACAGGTTGCAAAATTGTCTCTGCTAATTTCTTTATCAACTGAATAAATTGCAGAATTACAGGGTCTTTTTGAGAAAAGCATCTGATTTCATTTTAAGGACACTAAGTGATGGAAAATTCACCTCTTACTGAGCTGATCCACAGGTTCACAACCTTCAGCTAAAACATAAAGTTCACGTAAGAACTCTATGTGCCGCATACGAGACATCTAAGATTGTATTTGATGATCTTTTAAAAAAACTGTACTTGTGTGGATGGAATTCGCCGAATAATATTTTTTTGGCTTTGCTGGTTTTGCCAATAAGGGTTTTTAATGCTCATTATATCTTGACTTTAAATAAACAGATGAAGGAAAATATTGAAGAAATTAATCTTAACAAGGGTTATCTGTATTTGGCAAAGAATGCAGTAGCTAATATGTTTATCCTGAATGAAGTGAATATGAAAATTTGACTGGTTTCTTTATACTGAACTTCTTGAAATCTAACATAAGCCCTCTCTAGTAGAATTAATTCAGTTGTTTCTGCCAATTCAGCTATTTTATCTGAGTTAAAGAGACATCGCCAAAGGTGAAAAGTGAAGTATTTCATTTGATACCCTTTCTTCTTCGTCACCATAATGATAGAGTTATAAAAAGATGCATATGGAGTTAGTGGGAAAAATAAAGCAAGTGTAAGATCCAACTTCTGCATCAGCATTTATGGTTGAGCTTTTCTGACCTCCCCGTCTTGCTATGGAGCATTAGACCTGCATTTTTAATTTAAATTTCAGCCTCCTATGATCATTTGGAGTTTCTCATAACTGGTCAAAAAATGCTAATACTATATTTCTTATTCAGAAAAAACGGTTAAGTTAAGAAAGGGAATTCAAACTGAGTAAACAGTGAAGGACTGACAACTAGGAATTTAATAAAACAGACAATAATGCAGTGTTTGCATTTCCAGTGGCCAATTATAGTTTAATAACAGAAGTTCCCGAGTCACAGGACAGTTATCCTATTAAAAGCCTAGACAGAAGAAACTACAACTGGGGATTTTAGAATTACATGAATTACAGTACTTTTCTTACTTAATAGCTAAATGTTAAAGAAAACAGGGAAACGGATCATGCAGCTGGTTCTCCAAAGGTAAACTGAGGTCATTGACTGAAAAGCTGCAGAAACAAAACCTATCATTGTAGCAAGTGTCCTAATTAAGTATATAATATATCCACAGAAGATAGCTTTGTTTTTAAAAAAGTACACAGTCTGAACATGACCGCATCTTTCAGTGTATGGGAAATTACAGAGAAAGTCCAAGCACCAAATATTTTTTCTTGTCTAGACAGCTCACTCAAAGGACTCCTGTTTTATAGCCGGAAAGGGCATTTGTTTCTTTAATCACCCTGTAAAGCATGAGGCTTGTAATCGGCAAATCTCTTGCTATATGGAGACAAAGCGAAGGGGAAAAACTAAGTATGAAATGAATATACCCTATGTCTATACAGTGACTAAAGTAACTCTCTGTAATTATGGCCTGTTTTAGAATCCATGACTCAGGGCTGTCTTCTCTAACCAGAACTACTTTGATGCAAGATTGTCAGGATCTAAAGAAAGGCAAAACCTGTGTGTGATCAAGCCTATCCCCTATTCAGCTCAGCATCAACCATGTTCCTCATTTCTGCCAACCCAAACAGGATGAAGGCAGGATTAACCTCAGGCACATTTAAATCTCACTGAAATCTACTAATGTTGCGAAGTTTCTGGAAGAGGGGCTATTTCCTGGGACAGTTCTGTACAGTCCCTAGGACAACAGAGCTCTGACGGTGTTGATTAGGGTACGGAAGAGATTCTCCTTCTTCCATTTGTGATCTTACTCCTTTAGCTAGTGTGCTAGTGTCTGGATAAAGCACAGATTTGGTGAAACTGAAGATGTCTACTGCATAAAATTTACTCCATCTAACAGGAAATACTCTGCCCCAAAAGGAGTGCTAGTCTTACCAAACTTTTTCCCTAAAATTGCCTTGCCTTCCCCGCAAGGGCAGAATTAAGGTTGTGATGTGTAGTTACAGCAAACATCTACTCTCTTCAAATATCTTTGGCTACACAGATAGCAATTATGTACCGTTCACAGCTCTGTTCTTTATGTCCTCGATTTTCAGACTTCTCAGGTATGCAGTCATCTTAAATGAAGAACAAATGTGTATGAAGAACCTTCTTGGTGTATGGATTTCCAAATTATTCTTTGATCACACAATGATCTGTTCTTCCTGCAAGCATCCAGAAGGCTCAGAGGGACGACGCTCAAGGACAAGGACGAGGACAGGAGAATGGGATACAACGTA